AACATATTTGTTTAGAACCGTTTTGGACGGTTTTCGCTTGTTAACGGTGTTTAACCTGTACATATTTCTCTCCTGATTCAGGCAAGACGACTTTTTCACTGGAGAAAGCAATATTATTGAGAGAGGACTTTTGGTTTTAGCCAGAAACCAACTGAAGTAAAAGAGCATCTTAACCATGGATTTGTTTCTTACAGACACGCAGCTTTTCACTTCAGAAGACATTAATTGATGATCTGGAGTCATGTGGGTAACTTGTAGATTGTTGTGATGTTTTTAATCAGTTTGGACTCTCATTCTGAGAGAACCCATTTCTGCACCCATTCACTGCAGAGAATCCACTGGTGAGCAAGTGATGCAATTCTAAATTTCTCCAAATCTATTCAAAGAAACAAACTCATCGTCATGTTGAATGACCTGAGGGCGAGTTCATTTTTTTAGCCAAAATATGCACTGTGATGTTATTTCGCTTAGGGCTTTTCATATCAGTCACATGGGGGCGCTGTTTCCTTTGCAATTATTTACACTGTATTTTGAAGACGTAAAATTCTTATATCTCATTTACATGTGGGTCAAAAGAAGTGGCATCATGTGACAAGTTCAAAGATCAATGATAATATATTTGGAGTGAATGTCCTTTGGAAATATTGATAAAGAAGTTATTTAGATTTATTGGGTTTGTGATTTCATGGGAATGAAGCTCTCCTTATTCCAGGTCATTGATCCAGAGCAATAAAGGCCTAACAGAAATCAATAACACAATGTACACTGTTTATTTTGGTTTCTCGGAAACCAATGCATCCAAAAAATATTATAGAGAGAAGAGATATGGCATTCCTGATGTCTAAGACTGAGAACCAGAGCAGGAGTGGGTGGATAACTATGAATTAAATATACACTCTTACACAATACAGCAAGATACGGTGCTGATTGCATTCAAATGCAATTCAAATAATCCAAACCAGGATTTCAAAGAAAAGGATTAAAAGATTTAGGTCTGTTCCCAAAAAAGAAGACCTACTTGTATATTTGATCACAAACAGTTATTTATTGATATCAGGTATGACTACCAGAAAGGTACTGACTGCTGATAAGAATCACCTGGAAATCTGCCAGTTTTACTTCTTCCCAGTAAAGGGCAATGACAAGGGGTTTTTTGTCAGTATTTTTTTTTCTGGATATATTATTACCACCAACATTTACAAAAAGCTGATTTAAATGTCAACATACCTCAGTGACAATGGTCTGACAAGTCCATGGTATCGAAAACAAAAACTAATAAAATGACACAAGATTGCCATAAATTTTACTAAAATGTGAAAGTATAAACAATATAAAAAATAAAACAATGCAGAGTCCCTGACCATATTAAAGAGACAGCTGAAAATGCATCTCTTTGTGAGTATTTATCCGCATCTTAAAATATATCAAATGTAATTACAAAATTATATATTAAAAATTATTAATTAAAAAATTTACATATATATATATATTCATATTCATACACACACACTGCTGTTCAAAAGTTTGGGATCTCTTATGCTCATCAAGGCTGTATTTATTTAACCAAAAATACAGAAAAAACAGTAATATTGTAAAATATTATTGCAGTTTCTAATATTGGTTTCCTATTTTAATATACTTAAAAATATAATTTATTTCTGTGATGCAGCACTGAATTATCATCAGCCATTACTCCTTCAGTGATCCTTCAGAAATCATTCTAATATGCTGATTTATTATCAGTGTTGAAACTGCACTGCTTAATATTTTTTTGGAACCTGTGATACTTTTTTTCTTTGATTCTTTCATGAATAAAAAGTTCAGAAGAACAGCATTTATTCAAAATAGAAATCTTTTCTAACAACATAGTCTTAACTATCACTTTTTATCCATTTAACAATAAAAGTATTAATTAAATTTTTTTTTAAAGAAAAGAAAGAAAAAATTTACTGACCCCAAACTTTTGAATAGTAGTGTATATTGTAACAGAAAATTTTGAATAGACATTGTTCTTTTTAGCATTTATTTAGCAAAGAATCCTGAAAAAAAGTATCACAGGTTGCAAAAAATATTACCAGCAAAACTATTTCCAACACCGACTATAAATCAGCATATTAGAATGATTTCTGAAGGATCGTGTGACACTGGTTTTTTTTTAATAAAAAAAGACTTGTTTAGCATTCTACTAAAGGTATAATACATTATTATTATTATTATTACTACTACCTTAATTAGAATTATGGCAATATTAGGAAGAAAATGAAGCTTTACAATTTAAATTAAATGAAATTGATTTGTATAGCACTTTTCATAATGATTATCACTTCCAAACCAGCTTCAGAGACAATTGTCACACACAGTCAAGTTCAAGTAAACAGTTTAAGGTGACAAGTAATGGCAAGACATTTAGAAATAAAATGCCAATATATTTGATCAAAATAAAATAAATCAATAAAATTACAATGTATTCATAAAATTAAAATGTATTCATCAAATACATCAAACTGAATTTGACTTGTGAAAATTACTTATGTTGTCAAACCATGTTCAGCAGAGTGCGTTATGTAAGCCATGCTCAACTGAACAACAGTTTGCACAGAGGATCCATAAGGAGGGCAGGAGGAGGCACGTCTGTCTACATATTCATGGTTCTTTTTCTAAGTGGCTGGAAACCATGGAGACAGCAGGCTGAGGTGGAGGCACTTCAGTTGTGCCAGTGACGAGGTGGTTACATAATACACATCTCCACAGAGGAAATGGAACAAATTGCAAAATTACATCACGGGAAATATGGCATCTATTTAATACGTATTTCTTATGAAGCGACACACAATACAGTCTTCTTCATTATAGACTTTATTTTCTGTGTTTATCAAACTGCATAAGTTTGCCTCCTATCTGAAGTGAACTTGTGCACTGAAAAAGAATGACCATAAACCTTGATCTTTTTAACAAAGACTAGAGAGAGAGAGAAAGATTCTGGGACTTAATTATAGATATACTTGAAAATAATTTAGGGTTAATGTTGCAGGTAGCATCATGATTGACAAAGCAGAAAGACATCTCAGTAGACCACAGTGTATAAATAATTGATTTATCAGATTTTTTTTAAATCTTGCGATATCTTTGCATACATATTTATTGATTTTTTTGTATTATCTAGGCCTATTTATTCATTACTTTTGAGATTACAAAAGATAGGCCTATAAATGACACAACACTATCATAAACCCCCAAGCATTCGCTCCAGCTCCAAGGTGTAGGCCTAAAATATGTATACAGACAGTGTCGGCACACATCTGTTTTGCATGAATGAACTGCACTGTGTTCTGGCTGCTGCGGGGCAAGAACTGGGCTACAGTGATTCAACTGAATAATGGCTGGTGATATTCACACAAGCGACGCGTTTCTTTTTATATAGATCCAGGTACACTAATTCATCTTTTTCTTTAGAAACATTTATTTTACTTGTAAAGTGTCGTATTGTGTGCAAGTTAGAGATAGGCTGCATTATTTGCCCCGCCCATCGTGCTGTCGTCATTAGTGACGCAGCATAGCTGAGCGCGCGCACTTCGGAGTCGCTTGGTACATTTCCTAAACGGCGGTTCTTTGATTGATAACTAACGTTACTTTTTTTTCTAAGTAGAAATTATGTTTTTCATCCTAAACGGACAAAGGAAATCGGTAAGACATTTAACTTGGGTTGTGTTTGAAAATGAAAGCAGGTTATATTGTTAAAGTTAGTCGAGCTCGTGAAGCTGTTTGTGTTGTTTGAGGAGAAGCAATGCTTTTAGTGTCTGTTTGCTGTTGAGCGTTTGTCCTACAGCTTGATTCTCGGGAAAATAAGATATTCAGTTTTATATCCAGATGACATACGGCTGTTTGTTTTGGTGAACGGTTGAGAGTAATTCCGCATCTCTGAAACAGACGAATAGCACTTTAACCGCCCAGACCGTTTAAAACAATGCGATGCCCGATTGTCGTTGGAAAAGGTAACGTTAGTTAAGATAAAGATGAAAGGAGAAAGCAAATGTCACTGGCTTTCATTTTTCTGTAGAACTGAAGAAAAATGTCCTTCATTTTAGAAAAGGTTTTAGGCAGAACGACAGCCCAAGTCACCGTTTAATTTCATTGTAAAGCAAAATGACGCATTGAAAGCGAATAGTGACTGAGGCTGTTGTTCTGCCTAAAATGTCATTTTCTTTCAGTTCCACAGAAGAATGAAAGTCGGCCGGGTTCTGGAAACTTTTGGGTGAATAAATGACGCAGTGTTCGTCTCGTTTGAACTAACGTTAACCATTTAACAATACAGGTGGCTCTTTCCAGGTAACTTATTTCTAATTCATTATTCACATAAATATGTGATACCTCAATAATTAAATAGTATCTTGTCTTTGTCACATGACCCGCGGACCTACTACAGACTTGTAATGTGATGTTTATATTGCAGACTGTTGTTTTGAATTTACATAGGTCACGTGTGTTTGTTTCAGCGGGACTGGTTTAATCTAGAAAGAGCAGTTCCTCCTCGCGCTGCGCGTGGCGCGTGGCGCGTGCCGTCTCGCGCCTTCAACAAACATTAAACCCGGAAATATAAAAAAAACACTGAGTAACTGGGTTTTTATCTGGATGCTTTAAAAAAAACGTATAGACATTAAATGTAGTGTATTAGGTCTAGAACACTAGTTTGTGTTTTGTAAGTAATGTTGCAATTGTTTGTCCTTGCAGTTAAAGGGGTCATATGATGCTTTTTTAAAAGATCATTATTTTGTGTATTTGGTGTAACAGTAAATGTCATTTTCTTTCAGTTCCACAGAAGAATGAAAGTCGGCCGGGTTCTGGAAACTTTTGGGTGAATAAATGACGCAGTGTTCGTCTCGTTTGACTAACGTTAACCATTTAACAATACAGGTGGCTCTTTCCAGGTAACTTATTTCTAATTCATTATTCACATAAATATGTGATACCTCAATAATTAAATAGTATCTTGTCTTTGTCACATGGAGGACCCGCGGACCTACTACAGACTTGTAATGTGATGTTTATATTGCAGACTGTTGTTTTGAATTTACATAGGTCACGTGTGTTTGTTTCAGCGGGACTGGTTTAATCTAGAAAGAGCAGTTCCTCCTCGCGCTGCGCGTGGCGCGTGCCGTCTCGCGCCTTCAACAAACATTAAACCCGGAAATATAAAAAAAACACTGAGTAACTGGGTTTTTATCTGGATGCTTTAAAAAAAAACGTATAGACATTAAATGTAGTGTATTAGGTCTAGAACACTAGTTTGTGTTTTGTAAGTAATGTTGCAATTGTTTGTCCTTGCAGTTAAAGGGGTCATATGATGCTTTTTTAAAAGATCATTATCTTGTGTATTTGGTGTAACAGAATATGTTGAAATGCTTTAATGTTCAAAAAACACATTATTTTTCAAATACTCTACATTATTGTAAGTCCTCTATGCCCCGCCTCTCTCAAATATCATATAATTGTGTCTGTATAGCTGGAGGTTATGCTAGAGGACAACCTGAACTTGCCAGGTAATGGCAAACTGTACTCAAAAGTGATAAGCTGGGTGCAGCGCAGCCTGTGGAAGAACGGAGATCCCCTGGAGAAACTGATGGAAGAGGTCAGTATTATGGCTTTTTCTGTACCCATTCCTTTTGCTTTGCTCATGTCTCCTAAACTTCTGTTCAGTGGTTGACTCGGAGTTCCCCACCCATCCCCTGCCCCCAGGGTTTTTGCCCTTAACCTTGTAAATTTTGCTCACTGACTGACTGCACAGCTGTGTGATAGCGCGGGGCTTGTTGATCCCTCTCACGCTGAATTTCTGACCATTACCGCATACTCCCATCCGCTCCCGCGATTTTTGTGTCCGCTCCCTCAAACATTCTAATATTGTATATAATTTTCGCGCATTAGGGCACCGCTATCAATATGTGGGGTATTTAAATCCTTTTGAAAGAGCGCTCACAGTCAGAGTTCACTTTCGATTTCGCGATCTGGCGCGGCAGGTGCACACTGTGTAAAGGGAGCACATCTTACAATAAAAGATATTTGTCAATAAGCTCAGGATCTGTTGAGGAGCAAATCCTCCAACAACTTGTCAGTTATCTTTCCTTACTTTTGACCCGTGATCAGTCAAATCTGACTTCGGCAGCTCGTGTTGGATGCAGGGTTGTTGTTGTTTTTTCCACGAAATTGGGCTGCTTTTAAACTGTTGCCATGGGTTGATTTTCCCCAGTGGGTTAAAGGTTTGAAATATTGCATAAATTACATTTGGTTGAAATGCTTGTACTGAAACATTTTGCATTCTACCTGTAATAAAACTGTGCTAAATGTTTTGGGCCAAACTAGTAGGAAGCATTTGAGCTGTGTTTATGATAAATGTGCATAACAGTGACTGTAAAATATGTATTTTAGGGATGGAAATTACATTTTCATATTTGGGACATGGTAATTGCTCTGCTTTGGGCTGTTTTTTGTACTGGCATGGGCTTAGGCATGCACGGTTAAAATTATGTAATAGTTGTGATCATTATTTTACCTTCCATGATCATTCAGACTTGATCAGGTGCAGTACTGACTAGGGATGTAACGATTCACTCAATTTGATTTCACGATTTGATTCGATTCACGATTATTATTTTTTTTAACAAAATGAGATTTAAGACAAATTATAAATTAAATGTGTCGTTTTATTATTGCTTGGACAAAATGCACATTTCTTTGTGAAATTGAAATATAACACTAATATAGCACTTGCATATTACTGCTCTTTTGTTGGTTTTGATTGCTTCTGTTATCCTCATTTGTAAGTCGCTTTGGATAAAAGTGTCTACTAAGTGACAATTTAAATATAATGTAAATGTAAATAACAACTACATTGACACAAATAAAATAAATCTCTTCATATAAACAAAATAAGGCTTTGTCTGTGCTCTTTCCGTTTAAAAAAAAGAGGCAACCACGGCATTTTAATCTTGATCCAAACAAAGATGCTGCATACATGCAAACATGAGCAGTTTTTAATCTGAATTAGATTGTATAATTTCTAAACTTGAAGCAAAAACAGAATGGTTTGACTTCAGTTTTGTGAAACTATACATAAAAATATCTGCATGAAACAGCAGACGAGCTGAACGAGATGCAGATTCACTCTCTGCCAGCAGGTGGCGCTTAAAGCGTTTCCTTGGTTTCCGCTGTAAACAAAGCAGCCCTGAATTTATGAACTTTAATATGCGTTATACAGAGGCAAGATGAAAAGAAAAAATACCATCTAAACTTTTCTAAAGACCGTAAGTTCCCCTCAGACATGCATTCATATAAACTCCTACACCTAAATGAATCGCGATTTGTTTAGTATCTCAACCGATTTGAATCGTCACATATTTGAATCGATTTTCAACCGGCTCGC